AACCCTCAGCTCCATGTAAACCTTCTGGTCAAAGGGAAAGTGACTGTTTATCTTCTGATGGTGAAAAGGCACCTTTGTCTGCAGGAGTCCCAGCATTTATCTGTTGACATCTGATTTCATTAGAAGCAACCAAGTATTTTCTAACATGCCATTCGTTCTTTGGCTAAGCCAATACACCCATATGCTTCTCCCAAGATACTTATCTAGGTAGCTGACTCTTCTAAGAGACACAACTGTGTCATTCTGCACTGGATCCTGATGCTGAATATTTTATGCCAAAGCAGCTATTTTCTGTGCCTCTCTACCTGCCTGCAGCCATGTTTTCAGTTTTAATGAACAGTCAGTCAGAAAGGTCCTAGGGGAAAATAGTGGGCAGATGGGTCTTCACCCCAGAAGTTCCTGAACATTGTTTGCCAATGGTAGTGCTCAAGTTAGAAATTTGGGCAAAGAAAATCAACAATTGAGTGGAGTAAGTCCAGACAGAGAAAACAAAATGACACATGATTTCACTTGTATGTGGAATCTAAAGAACAAAGTAAATGAACACACAAAACAGAAACAAATTCATAGATACAGACGACATTTAGATGGCTGGCAGATGAGGGGGGATTGGGGAGATGGCTGAAAAGGGGGAAGGGATTAAGAAGTACAAATTGGTTGTTACAAACTAGTCATGGGGATGTAGGATACAGCATAAGGAATATAGTCAATAGTATTGTAATAACTTTGTATGGTGTCAGATGGGTACCAGATTTATTGGGGTGATCACTTCGTAAGTTATATAGATGTCTAATCACTATGCTGTATACCTGAAACTAATATAATATTGTATTCAACCTTAATAGGAAAAAAAACTTAAAAAATAATAATTGTTAAATATTTAATATGTGAAGATACTATAACCACTACATTTTTGTTGTGCTTCCGCTCTCCGACTTTTTCTCTACCTTTTGGAGTCTTTAAGAACTGGAAGTTGTCTTAAGCTCATCTATTCTCATGCCCCCATTTTCCATCTGAAGAAATGGGAGCCTGGAGATATTCAGGATTCAACTTCAAATGACACAGCTGTTGACTGGAAGAACTTGAATTCAGTGCTCATTATACCAACTGAGTCTGCAGAAAGTAAAGAATGTACTAATGGTGATGAATGCAGGATAGGCATCAGGGTTGTAAAGGGACACGAAGGAATAAGATCAGCCTCTATTCACCATCAATAATGGATTAGATGTGTGTGTGTGTGTGTGTGTGTGTGTAATACCAAAGGAAAAATAGGACATGTTTCTCTATAATATTAATCATCCCTTTAAGAAACATTTGTTGTGTGCCAGACATAGGCACAGGGGATACGAAGACGAATACAAGCTTCTTGCCCTATTTAATAAAGTAATGCTATGTAACTTTGATTTTCCAAACGAGAAAGTATATAGGAGGAGAGTATATGAAATAGCATGTTTGATGGGAATGCATTCAGGGAAGAGAAAGAAATGAAATGCACTAAAAGTAAATATTCTAATACTTTATAACAATGAACTGATTCCCCCTTAAAGGCAATTTGATATATATTGTGAGATTATCCAAATTAGATAGTTTTTAGTGTGGTTCTTTCGAAAGCAGAAGATTCTGACTATACAAGTTTTTTTATTGCAGAGTCCCCAAATCTAGGTAAGTGACACAGCGAGGCTACAACTGATGTTCATGACTTCGAGGATCTGAATTCAGGACAGGGGAATAGGGTGAGGGTGGGGGAGTAGAGAGAGTTTAATTTTAAATGTTATTTGTCTGGTGCCTGATCCTTTCAGATTCTGGGTTCCTAGATGGTCTGCATGGTTGATGAATGTTCCCATTTTATATGTATAAGGCATATCATCGTTATGTGAATGTGCAGGGTTTCTTTGTAAACATCTTGTGAAATTATTAGAATTATTTACTTTTAGAGGGAAAAAAAAACACAAAGACCTCATGGATCATGTGGTCTACTCTTTCTATGTAAGAGCTAAGGAGATAGGTCTAGAGAGCAAAACTGACTGGTTCCGAACTCCACACAGTTTCTGGCAAAATCCAGGTTTCCTAACACTTTGCCTGGTGCTACATGTGTGTTTGGAATAGCACGAATTCTATGTCATAAATGGGAAACAATACAGGGAGAGGGCTGCTGACCTGAGGACTGGAATTCCTACTACTTCAGGATGTTTGTATTCTTAGAAAAAGCTGAGCAGCCTGCCTCCAAGGCTGAGACTGACCTGAGATGCTATCACACAGCTTAACGCCCCTGGTATAAGTGAGGCTTTTACAGGAAAGGATATTCATTCAAGAAGATGAAATGCATGAAGGGAAAGGTTAAACTCTTGAGACCAAAATGACTCCCTTTGGACAGTTTTAGCCTGCTCCCATGACTGTTTCGCTGCCGGATACTTGAACCCTTAAGAGCCTGTTGCCTCACTTGACTGCATGCCTAGGAGGCAGAGAGCCTGCCTGTCTTGTTTACTATATTCACAGCACCAAACACAAGCCTGGCGTGGAGCAGATACTCAGGAAGTATTTGTTGAATAAATGAAAGAAGGGGAAATGAATAAAAAAAACATTGTGTTTTGCCCCCAGAACGGGCCCAACATTTGCTGTTGAACATTTTAGCACCTTTCCCTGTACTAATGATTTTCCTTTCTAAGGTTAGAAGCTGATGCTCAGGGCATTTCTGTTATACTAGATGGAATTGAATCTTTATATTCCTAGCGGAGAAATTTAGTTGGAATTGCACATGAAACTGAAGCAGCCACAAGTCTGCATCTTGCCTTGCTTGCCGTAAGCCCCAAAGGGCCTGCGTAAACAACTCTCAAAACCCCTGGCCTGCTGTTCACTCCCATCTGTACTCACTGACTAAATATTCCTCTCACCCAGTAACCTTTGTTAGGACGAAATAACAGAACTGACTTGTTCTGAACTCCACACAGTTTCTGGCAAACTCTGAGCTTCCTAACACTTCACCTGGTGCTACATGTGTTTTTGGAATAGCATAAGTAGGTAGTATCTTCCATAGGTACCACCAGGCTACTAGCAGTTCTAAAACCAGAGCTGCTGTTGATGAATCCCAATATGTTGCATCAAAATAGCTTTGACGTGGTTGTCCAGCTCCTACGCCATACACCCATCTTGGGCCATTACCAGGTTAAGACTTTGGTAATTGGCCCCATCCCCACCATGTGACTCCGGCAGGTTAGAGAGGAGAAGCAGTTTAACCACAATTGTTTCCCGCCAGTCTCTTCCAGTTAGATTTCCCTCTTTCCAGTTCTGACTTGGGAGTTTCTCCTTCACATGATTTTGAAGCCAAAACCAGTCCCTAGGACAGAATTATCTGTCAGCTGCTAGAAAAACAAGACTGCAGAGGAAGTAGATGGGAGGTGGTACAGACACAGGCAGAGGATGCAGACATTAGTGAGAGACATGCAAGGGACCCTGTGCACTGAGGAAACATCCCAGTGGCCCCAGGCAAAAGAATGAAACTAGATGACTGTCTTAAACCATAATAAAAAATTAACTCAAAGTGGATGAAAGACTTGAATGTAAGACCCGAAACTATAAAATACATGGAAGAAAACAGATACTAAGCTTTTGGACATTGGTCTTAGCAATGTTTTTGTGGATTCAACTCCAAAGGCAAGGGAAACTAAAGCAAAAATAAATAAATGGGACTACATCAAACTAAAAAGCTTCTGCACAGCAAAGTAAACCATCAACAAAACAAAAAGACAACCTACTGAATGGGAGAAGATATTTGCAAATCATATATCTGATAAGGGGTTAATATCCAAAATATATAAAGAACTCATACATCTCAACAACAAAAAACAAACAACCCAATCAAAAAATGGGAGGGATCTGAATAGGCATTTCCCCAAAGAAGACATACAGATGGCCAATAGACACATGAAAAGATGTTCAATGTCACTACTTATTAGGGAAATGCAAATCAAAACCATAATGAGATACCATCTCACACCTGTTAGAATGGCTGTCATCAAAAAGACAAGAAACCAGTGCTGGAGAGGATGAGGGGAAAAGAGAACCCTTGTGTACTGTTGGTGGGATTGCAAATTGGTGTAGCCACTGTGGAAAACAGTAGGAGACTCCTCAAACTACCATAAGGTCCAGCTATTTCACTTCTGAGTCTTTATCTGAAGAATATGAAACACTAGTTTGTAAAGATATATATATATATGCATACCTATGTTCATTGCAGCATTATTTACAATAGTCAAGATATGGAAATAACATGTGTCCACTGACAAATGAATGGATAAAGATGTCACACACACACACACACACACACACACACACACACACACACACTCTCTCTCTCTCTCTCTCTCTCTCTCTCTCTCTCTCTCTGGAATACTACTCAGCCATAAAAAGTGATATCCTGCCATTGGCAACAGCATGGATGGAACTTAAGGATATTAGACTAAGTCAAGTAAGCCTGGTGGAAAAAGACTGATACCGTATGATTTCATTCACATGTGGGACATAAAAACAAAAACAAATGAGCAAATAACAACAAAATAAACACAAAGCAAACTTACAGAGGCAGACAACAGATCAGTGGTGACCAGAGCAGAAGGGGGGAGTGGGGGTGGAGGGAGGGCGAAACAGGTAAAGGGGGTCAATTGTATGGCGATGGATAAAAACTGGACTTCTGGTGGTGAGCACGATGTAATATATACAGATGTCAAATTATAATGTTGCACAGCTGAAACTTATATAATGTTATAAACCAATCTTACCTCAATTAAAAAATTTTTAATTATTAGGAAGGAAGGGAGGGAGGAAGAGAGAAGAGAAGGAAGGGAGGAGGAAAGGGAGGGAGAGAGGGAGGGAGGAAGAAAACATCCTGGGACATTGTTCACATGCAGATCTCACCTGTACTATAAGTGGAAAGGACAAGGAAGTGGCAAAGGTGAGAAGAATGTACTTTCCCTTTCTTTAAGTGAACTTGGACTTGTCCTGACCTTGGCAAACAGCTCCCCTCCAGAGCAGCTCCCGCTCACCTCTGCAGTGGGCTGTTTCCCAGCTCCAAGGTCCCGGCCACAGTTCAAGCCTGCTTTCTCTTCCCAGTCTGCACCTACCTTGGCAGCCGCTGTGGCAGTGCTGACGCCTAACCCTGTGGTTACTTGGGTGGGTGGGGAGGCTGGCCTTGGTGATCATGTTACAGAGCAGCCCACTGGCTCAAGCCAGGCACGTGATGAGAGAAAAAGTATGGGTCTGTGTGGACTGCAGACAAAAACACCCTTCTTGCCAAAGGACATCTCATTTACAGCTGAGAGGAAATAGGCAGTTTAAGCAGAAGCTTGAAATAGCACATGCGGCCAAACTCTGGGCTTTTTTCTTCTTGTAAGAAAACTTCCTTCGTCTTCCTCAACTTAAGAAAATGTCGCTGTTCCTGTAGGAGGCGGTTTTAATAAGAGATGTGGGTATCAGATAATGTGGAAGGCAGGAAGGAGGCAGGCAGTCCAAGAGGGTAAAAAGTTTACACAGACAAGAGGACCTGGTTTTCTCTTTATTGCTCGGTTGCTGCAGAGCAGGGCAAGGGAAGATAGGTGCATCAACCAAACTAGTGAGTCTAATGCAGGGAAGGGACATCTGCAGAGGTTAACTTTATATGTCGATTGAAGCAGGTGAAATGAGGATACAGGATCCATGACATGAACTGGTGAGCGCCTTTGAAAAAAAACTGAGTTTTTATTTTTGAATTTCTAAAAGTTATTTTGAATAGACAACATGTGCGTCTGATATAAAATACAAGAGGGTGAAAACAGTATACAGTAAAAGTAAGGTTTCTTTCACTGTTCCCCAGTGAGCTTGTTTAAATACAAACACATATGTCTCCCCCTCTTCTTTAGAAGCAGCACACCATATGTGCTTATTTTGCTCCTTGCTTTTGTCACTTAACACTCAAAAGTGGAGACTGTTCCATATAGTACCTTTAAGTGATACCACTTCCTTTTTAATGGTTGCTTGCCACCCCATCATATGGATGTGTCATACCTTATTTGGCCAACAAAGGACCATGTCTTAATTATTTTTCCCTGCCTATTTCTTGCACAATGCAAGTGCTCAGTAAACGTTTAATGCTTGCTCACAAGTGAATTACATTTTTGTACAACTTGTTCATGTTTTTCCTCATCTCTAGGTACCACTTTTTTTTTTTCCGGTATTCCTGGTATTTGTATAATGTATATATTTCCTGGTGGACCAAGTCTCTCTGTGTGCTGATCAAACCTTGCTACCTAGCTTCCAAGACCCGCCTTAGTCAAGCTGCTCTCACATCACATTATTCTTCACTACTTCCTTCTTTTTAATGCTCTAAGCATCACCTGCCATGCCTGTGCCCCCCTATTTTCTGTTATCTCTACCTCCATCTCATTGCTTATAATGATGCTCCCACCCAGAATTTCCTTCCTGGTCCTGTCCACTATTCTGCCACTGTTTTTTTTGGGTTTTTTTCCTGAATTTTTTTTTAGCTTATGTGGTCAACACTCCCTAAAGGACCAGGTAAGTTTTTCTATAATGATTTCAAATAGAAGTTTTATGGATCTCCATGGCACTAATAACTCTGGCACATAGCAAGTCCTCAGTAGAGCCGAGATATATGAGAATCTCTCACCAGTCCTCCTGGGCTTTCTCTCCATCCTATCTTTGAGGAATTGTGCAACTTTCTTGCTATTTCAAAGTTGTGTAAGACAGCCCCCTCCTTCCTGGCTGATCTCCTTTAAAGAAAGTACTCTTGAGTGGTCCTGAGATCCTGGAAGAAGGCAGGTCACGGTTCAGCCTGAGAGCTGCCACCCACCCTCTTTGCCATCTTGGCCTCTGTGAGTCTCAGCTTCCTTGTTTGTACGATGAGTGAGATGGATTGGTGGATCTCCGAGGCCCCTCCCAGTTTTAATGTCTGATAATCTGGAGTTGAGATTTATAACTGTGTTTAACTTTGTCTGGAATACAACCCTTACCCCACACCCCAAACGAACATGTCTGGTTAGAGACTTCCGAGATATTCTGAAGCCTTTGGGTCTCATTGCTCCTAGAACATTAGAGAATGTTACTGAAGTTCAGAAGAAGATGCTCAATACTGGTCATAAAAAAAAAAAAAATCAGAGGTTTTGCGATCTGGCTGTAACACCAGGGTGCTGGGTTTGTCATATGTAACGCTGGGGAGAGGGAGAGGGAGAGAACGCAAAAGAAAGAGCAGTTTAGAACTGACTAGAGAGTCCCAAAGGACAACTTTTATCCATATTAATGTGCTTCTCTGCTCTCTCCCATTGGCCTGTATTTTAATTTGCCTACCTATAGGCAGAGATCTATATAGCAGAGATCAACTTTCTTCTTTGTAAAGTACTGAATATTCACTTAGCAGCCACTGGGAGTTTCACGATAACAATAATCAAAAGATGTAGCAGTGGCAGATAGAGGTCCAAGATGGCAGAACAGAAAAAAAAAAAAATGTAGTGACAACTAATACTCAACCAGAATCACCTAGCAAAATTACCTAAATATTTACCACGACTGAGAGAAGCTAGCTTTCTTTTCTTACCAAATTGAGTGTAATTCAAATTAAAAAAGTAAAATGTCTCTGCCTTTACTCCATTCTCTGTCCATAGGAGTGAAAGTAATCTTTAAAAAACATAAATCAGATCAGGTCATCTTGTGCGTAAAATCCTCCCGGGTTTCCCAATGCACTTTGAACAGGGAACAGTTTTAAACCCTCCTAGACCTTGGCTGACCCGGCCTCTGCTCTCCTCTGCAGCCTTTCCACTGCGCCTTTGCTCCACCTCCTCTGGAAGCTGCCCTGGCCTCTTTTCAGTACCTCTAACACCTCAAACTCATGTGTTATCCTCTGCCTGAAATGTGCTGCTCCCAATTCCTCATATCTCCCTCTCTCTCTCAGTCCTTCTTGTCCTTTTCATCTCTGCCTTAATGCACCTTTTCAGAGAAGCCTTCTTTGACATCTAAGTTTCCCCTCTCTTCCCCCAATCCAGTTAGTCTGTCATTTTACTCCATTAGTTTCCTTCATGATAGCTATCAGTTTCTCATTGTCCTTTTATTTCTTACTTGAATGCTTGTTTACTTGTTTTCTTGTCAGTCCCTGCCACCAAATGTTAAGCTCCCCAAGGCCAGGAACTGTCTGTTTCATCCACCAGTGCACCCTCCAGTGTCAACATGGGGCCCTGCACATAGCAAATGGCCCATAAACAAAACTCTGTGAACACTTAACCCCATATTGAACTAGGAATCAGACGACTCAAATTCTGGTTCTATCTCTGGGAGCTAGGTAACCTTAAATTATTTAATTACCATATTTCCCCATGTATAAGACGCACAGTTTTCTGAAAAATTTGGGGTCTAAAAACTGAGTGCGTCTTATACAGTGGTTGTATGAGCGCAAAAACAAGCGCAAAAAAAGTGGGAAATGCAAGTAAAAAACCCTACAACCACAATATAAGACGCAACCAGCTTTTAGACCCCAAATTTTTCGAAAAAGCATGTGTTTTATACATGAGGAAATAATTTCTGTGAAATTAGGGGAAGGCATTAATTAGAACATCTTTACGGATCCTCTCAGCTTTGGAAGTGTGAAAGTCTCTGATTATTATTAGTAGACATTGAAATGTGACTTTAGTAGACACTAAGGGAGAAGGCACATCAAAGAAAATCAAATGAGATGAATAAAATAGACTTGATATCTATTTCTGGATTTAAAAAAATGAACTGCTATCTTATCAGCGATCAGAAGGTTTTCAGGTTGCAATCAAAAGATCAAAATAATACTCAAATGCATAGTCATGAAACACAATATTTCTTTATATTTAGGGGACGTTTGATCACCTATTGACAATTTTTAAGAGGCAGAAGTTTTTTCTGTTATGTAGGAAAAGTAGAGGCAACATACTGCAAAAGCAGGAAGTTAACCCAAACTATACCAAGAAGTCAGCTGTGTGCATTCTTCAGTTGAATGTAAAGATAAATATATAATATGATAAAAGACAACACTATACAAAGTGACAGACCTTGGCTACTTTTGCAGGGGTGCAGGAAGCTCTCTAACAACGGAATTAATTGACAGGTACCTAAGTGTGTCAGCACTCTTAAAAGAAATAAAGGTTTTTGAGAGTTGGGCTCAGAGGATGATTTACAGTGGTACTATATATATACCTGGAGGCATTTACCTTTTTCCACATTTTCAAAATATTTCAAACCCAAATATTTATATTAAACTTTATCTTCCTACACATATTATACTTGAAGAAATGAACCCTGTTGATTTATTTAGAATTGGGATTAACAGAAAGGGTTGGCTGGCTAAGGATATCACCCTGTCTGGCTCTTAAGGGGACTCATTTTGCAACCAGTTTCTCAATTTTTTTTAACCTATACCCTCCCAGCTGAGAAGATATGTTCAAGCCTTACTTACTTTCTATACTTTGTGGTTCAAAAACAATAGTTTTTTTTTTCAAATATGAAATGATATTATTGAATATATTCTTCTCCAGCTGCCCTCTCATTCATTTGGGGCCAATTCTTCCATTGAGAATCAGTGATTGTTCTAATTTTGCAATAGCCTAAGTGCAGTATAAAATCCATTATTTACAACAAACACTTCAGCACCTCCTGAACTACAAACGGTCTGTTTTACATTTATCTTCAATAACCTGAGAAATGAACATCATGTTCTGGGTGAAGGGGCTGAGGGGATGGAGATGGTGTGTTTCCTGTTTGATTCAGTGCACACCAGGCCTGAAGGGCTGCAGGAAAAAACAAAATTCCAAGAGGGATTGTGAAGGCTGCTCTCCACGTGACTAGCTCCTGATGGTGCTGTCCTTTCCTGAACCTAATTACAAGTGGATGAAAGGATTCTAGAAATCCCACAGGGCAGGGGGAAGGGAGTGTCTTGTCTGCTTTCTTCATCACAGTATTGCTCAGCAGAATGACTGTTTAAGTCCGCCGCAGAGCTAACAAACTTTGAATATCTCAGGAATAACAAACTTAGACGGCCAGAAACAATTATTTCTTGAACACACTTATATATTTTCCTCAATGGCCGTTTTTTCCCCCCCGTTTATTAATACAACCACCTTGTGAAATAGTTATCTCTACGTTACAGATAAGGAGACACACTCATTTGGAGGGGAGGAGTTCAGAAAGTTCATTTGATGCTCTACCCTGGGGGCTGGGGTGGGGGTCCAGCTCCTTGGGGAACAGCTTTCATGAATTCAGTTTGAAACTGCCGCTGAAGGCCAGCTCGGAAATGGAAGCAGGGTTTTGGAGAAGTCTCTTAGGGGGAAATGTTTAAAAGTAGGAAGGCCCAGTGACCTGGGGTGAAAGCATCTAGGACTATGACAAGCACCTTGCTTTGGGTCGTCTGCACCTTCTCAGGGACGGGGGCGGCGGGGGTGGGGGAGGAGTGCGAGTGACAATGAGGACGGCCTGGAATTGGTAGCCGCGCGCAGGGAGCCAGTCCTTTGTCTTCTTTCCCACTGCTGGAGAGACCACGAGGCAGCGTTGGATGCGAGCGTGGTCAAACGCTACAAAGGACAGGCGTGGGCAAAGAGCCCTCTTTCCAAACAGGATTTACAGTGAATTAGGGGGCGGGTGGGGGCCTTAGGGACCTCCCTAGACTAGGCCTGGGTCCCAAAGCTCTTGCAACGAAAATCTGTTGAGCCTGCTTAGCCTCCGCCAGGTCTCGGAGCTTCTCGGAAGGCGTGCTTTCCCCCACCGGAGGCCGAGTCTACTTTGTAACTCGAGCAGGCCCCGGCGGGCCGGTTGCTATGGTAACGCGGTTCGCCCGGCTTTGAGGCCGAGAGGATGGAGGCGAGCCTTGGCGGACGTCACCCAGACTCAGTTTGGGGGTGCTGCACCCACCCCTGTTTGCCAGGAAGGAAGCCGTGAGGTTTGTAAGTGAAGAGTTCAGAGGGCCGCATTAGTACAGAGTGAAGGGTTAAGTTAGGATCTCTCTCACCAACCTTCCCCCAAGTCCGCTCCTACTATAAAGATTTAAGCTGCTTCAAAGCAGGGAGGAGGGGGCGGTTGTAATCTGGGACTTGGTCAGACGGGCCACGCCCACCCAGGGGGGGAGCTAGTTCTAGAACACGCCCCTTCCCTGGGCTCGCGGAAGGAGAACTGAAATGGAGTAAGGCTCAAGATTGAATTGAATCGGTGCAACTAATCTCGCGAAGTCCTAGGGCGGACCGTCCTCCGCGGCCACCCCGCCCTGCCTTTTTCGCGGCGCGTTCTATGATTTGCGCCTGCGCGCTTGCTCCGTGCGCTCACGCGTTGAGCGAACGCACGGAGTCGCCGCGGCGCGCAGAAGGGGCGGAGCATGCATGATCAGGCGCGCGCGCGTCGGGAGAGACGCCAAGGAGCAGGCGAGTCGGGAGGACCGGGTGGGTAGAGTGGTACGGTCAGGTTCTTTGCGTAAAGCCGTTCTAGGCACGAGAGAGCCCATCTCACTGGCTCGCTCTATCCTAGGAGCGGATCCGGGGCAAAGGGAGGAGAAAGCCGGGTCAGGGGCCGTTGCCGCCGCCGCTCCCGCGGAGTCCGCCTGCCAGCCCGCCAGCCCGCGCTTCGCGGGCCCTGCTTGTCAGGGTAAGCAGGCCCACGCTTACCAAAGAGAGGAGCGTGAGATGAGAGAGTGTGGGAGGCCATCCGGCCCTGAGGGAGGAAGAGGAGTGGGGACGTGTTGAGAAGGGAGGCTGTGCGAGACGAGAAAGAGGCCCATAGAACAGTAGTAATAATAACAACCACTACCACACAATAATACTAATCTAGTGATGTGTGCCGAGACTTTACAAAGCACTTTAAATGTGCTTCATTTATTAAATATTTAACCGTTACTGCAGTCCTCCGAGGGGGTGTCTACTATTAAACCCATTTCACACGACAGGAAAACTGAGACACGAGAGAGGTGAAGTAATGTATGCAAAGCCTCATCGCTAGTCGGCAGCCTGGCTTTGAATTTAGGTCTCTCTGGCCGTGAGGTCTGTAATTTAAATATCTTCGCTTTGCACACAAAATGGGGGGGGGTTGGTAAGGAGGAGGAGGAGGGGAGGGATGCGCGTGAAGTGGGAGGGAGGTCCAGAATGGGAACAGAACGATGACGGGAAACTAGGGAAGAGCACATGAGTTCGAAACCGTGCAGACTTATCCCTTCTTGGTTCTTGGCGGCCCTGCCACTTTCCCCTGCCATTCTGTAGCTTAACGAACCCGAGCCAGTGCTCGGGAGGCGCCAACTCACAGGCCTAGGCCCCAGGGGTGGTTTAAGAGCTGTCTGAACTGCAGTTCAGTCCAGGGTGGTGTCTTCTGTGTTTTTTTGGGGGGGAAGGAGAAGACAAGCGGCGGCGGCGACCACCGCGGCCATAAATAGAGGGCCCTCTTCCAAGTTGCTGCCATTTCTAACTTGTAACGCGCTGCTGCTTCCTTTTGCATCTTGTCCAGGCGCTACAAAGCCTTTGTCCAATCCCGTAGAAGGAAAATGTGATTATTGTTTTTGTGCACACTTAGGAAGCAACTAGGAAAATCAAACATTCTTTTCCCAAGCAAGGCCTGGTTCTCTGGATTGCTTGCGGAGAAAGCTTTCAGATGGTTGTATCATTAGTTGCTCTTCAGAGCGCTCCTGGGTAAATGAGGAGCTTTGTTTTGGAGTAGTTCTAAGCTATATATAGGGCGTCAGAAACGATCTGAAACAGTTTGTACTATAGATCAGCACCTCAGTAATTGGTAAGGGTGTGTGTGTGTGTGTGTGTGTGTGCGCGTGTGTGAAGAGGGAGAGAGGAGAGAAAGAGGGGCCCTTTTGCACAGTCTAGTGCTGGGAAACAGCAGGTATCAATTAGTGCGTGTGTTTTGCTTTCATGGGGAGTGGAGTAGCTCATGTGGAGTTGTTTTAAAGTCATCCTGTGAGGCATACATTGCATGAGATCAAATTTATCCTTAGAAATTCCTTAGGAAGTTGCAGAGTTGGAGATGGCCGACCTATTTCTCAGTAAATCCAGCACAGTATAGGTTTTCCTTCAGCTTTGAAACTTGTTACTGTTTCTTTGGTTGCAACAGATGGAGTAATTATGTTACCTTTAGGGGCTGTATGGCACAAATGCACATATTTGAATGGATAGTCAGTCTGCGCTGTGAGGTGCACTGAAATGTTGGCACTGAGAGGTTTCAAAGCAGGAAGACTAAGAACAGTACGTTTGTGGTTTCCATCTTGGGCTCATTGTGGAGCATGGGCTCACTGAATGGAAAGTGGCAGACCGAATTGCTGGTATTATTATTATTTCTTGTTTTTGGCTAGCATATCCAGTAATTATACTCAGTTAAATGTGCATGATATGATTTCTCTTCAGTTTTTGAATGGCACGACATTTAGGGGTTCGCAAGCTATTGTCTATTTCCCCAGATATGGGTTTGGTGCAAGAATCTTAACATTATTTTTGCTAGTGGTCTGCTTTTGAGTTTCCCATTCCCGTTGAATATAACAATAGTTAGTTTTTTAACGGTGTTTTTAGCTTTTTAAAAAACATTCTCTTGGGCTGGCCGAGTGGCTCAGTTGGCTAAGAGCTCACTCAAGAGTGTGAGCTCTGAGCAACAGCGGTTCGAGTCCTGGCCTGAGCTGAGCAGCCGCTGAGCTGCCAACAGGTGGCACGATGGCTCAGCTAAAAACAACAAAAAAAACCATTCTCTTGGAAATGGAAGTCATGATATTGCCTTTTAAAATTAATGTCTCTGAATTTCAGTTTCTTATTTGTAAAATGTAGAGGAAGATAGCATTATACAAAGTTGTGAGTTTTCTCCACTGTTATTTTGAAGCAAAATCCTACTTTTTTTTTTTTTTTAGCTGAGCCATCCTGCTACCTGTTGGCAGCTCAGCGGCTGCTCAGCTCGGGCTGGACTCAAACCGCTGTTGCTCAGAGCTCGAACTCTTAAGCGAGCTCTTAACCAACTGAGCTACTTGGCCGGCCCGCAAAGTCCTACATTTTATATCATATTACCTATAAATATTTTACATTATTTCTAAAAGATAAGGACTCGCTTAAAAACCATAACCACAATGTAACACCAAAAAAGCAAACAACAACCCCCCCCCAAAACCCCAGAACAAAAAGAAAAAAAACAAAACTAGCCAGTCATTGTTCAGACTAATAAATGTCTCAAAAATCTTCTAATATTCTCAAAAATGTGATAGTTTTTCTTTCCCCCTAACAGTTTGTTTAAACCAAGATCAAACTAAGGCCTATACATTTTGATTGGTTGAAATGTCTCCTGAGAATCTTTTACTTTAATTTCTTGCAATTTATTTGTTGAAGAAGCTGGGTGGTTCTGTGGTTTCCCACAGTATCTGAATTTTGCTGATTGTTTTTTTGTAGTGTCATTTAGCATGTCCCTTTGTCCTCTTTATTTCTTGTAAATTGGTAGTTAAATCTAGAGGTGTGGTCAGATTCAAGTTAGATTTTATTTTGGCAAGACTACAGTCATGCGCTGCATACCAACGCTTTGGTATGGACCACATGTTACAGTGGTCCAAGGTTATAAGGGAGCTGAAAAACTCCTACTGCCTAGTGGTGCCACAGCTGTCCTAACATCGTAGGGCAGGCAGTGCCTCACGTGCTTGTGGTGATGCTGGTGTAAACAAACCTGCACTGCCAGTCGTATAAAAGTGTAGCACATATTATATATAGTACATTATACTTATAAAGATAACAAATGATTATATTACTGGTTTATGTACTTACTATACCATACTTTTTATCGTTATTTTAGAGTGTACTCTTTCAACTTATAAAAAGTTGGCTGTAAAACAGTATGCCGTGTTATACCTGTGGCAGCCTTATGCATCTGGTGTTTACTGCTTCTCTTGATTGCATCACTTTCTTGTGCTTGATTTAATCTTGTGTTGTGTTGTGCAGGTTTGTAACCTAGGAGCAAACGGTGTGTAGTGGGCCATGCCATCTAGGTTTGTGGGCACGCACTCTCTGATGTCTGCACATGATACATTTCTCTTTCTCAGAGTGTACCCCTGTCCTTAAGTGGTGCATGACTATTTTATACAGGTGGTGTGTTCTGTCAGGAGACACATAATGCCTGGTTGTCTCTTTTTGTGATGACAGCTGTTGTGGTTATTTTAACAACTTTATTTAGGTATCATTTGCATACTGTAAAATTTGCCCATCTTAATATGGAGTTCAGTGATTTTTAGGTAATGTACTGAGTTGTGCAGTCATCATTGTAATTGAGCTTAGGAACATTTCTATCACCCCAGTAAGATACCTCATGCCCATTTTCACTTAACCCTCATTCCTATCCCCATCCCATCACTGTAGTCTACTTTCTGGCTTTCTAGATTTGCCTTTTCTGCGTATTCCATATAAATGCCATATGATTATTACCCAAATCTATAAATTCATTAGGAGATCCAAAATGGTGATAGTCTTATCATTTTGTAGTCATTTGTTAACTGTATAACTTCTATAAAGAAAAACTTTCCCTCAGTTTTTGGTTACTTCAAGGTATACTTTATATAGGAAAGACAAGATAGTATTTTAAAAAATAAGTCAATTCACTAGTCTTCTCCAGCGGCGACCAATTAAGTTTATTTTCTTAGTTCATTATGAACTCATGGACTTAAACCTATCTGAACAATTTTAACACACTGTAGTAATTATCCATAATGATGTTCATTCTGTCTTTTCTTTGACCAGCGGGACCCTCTTCAGACTGTTTCCTGAGTTCTTTTGACAGCCTTAAGAGTATCTTAGCTGGAGACCCTGGTTCTAAGAGTTGACTGTAAAATACCGAATTGTCCTCTTTCCAAGCCAGCTCTTTGCTGCTTGGAGACCAAAGGCATTTTTGTGTGGGTCCCTTTTGTTACTTTTGCTCTTATGGAAATGTCTCCAGAAGTGATACTCACTTCCCCTAAAGTAATTTATGGTTGGGTTTGAGATCACATCAAAAAGGAAGTGCGTTGTTTCAGTTAGGGAACTACGGAAGTGAAGTGGTACAGGTTTAATATTAGTGGGCATAGAAATGGCTTAAAAACCTTAAGAAGGGTTTAGAATCTAAAATTCTGAGTCCCAACATTTTTTTTTAAATCTTTTTTTTTTTATTAATTTATTTTTTATCCAACATTTTCTTAATTATGGTCAGATGGTAAATTCCACGTTCAGTCTGAACTTCTGCCCTTTTCTGATGTTCATTATTTGTTCGGTCAAGCCTTTCATTCATGCCCATTGTGTACAGAATGAAAAGAAGAAACTGCCTTTAGGAAGTGTACACCTATACTTGTTAGGAAGATACCACAGCCCACCTACATTTCAGAGTAATTATAGTAAGTCTGCTGTAACTTCAGGGAAACATATGTTGAAGTGTAGGGTGCGTTGAATAAATGGAATCTTCAAGGGTTGCTGACAAACCAACAGATTGATTTCTTGGCAGTTTCTTAGAGAAATGAAGACGCTTGAGAATGCCAGTTTTGTTTTCCAGATTCCTATTGTATCTGCCTATCTTGACAGTAGAAAGCAAAGGTTTTCCTCGCTCTGGCCTTTGGAAATCGCTTACATTCATTTTACCGTTTCTAGGACTTTCCCCCTGAATAGATACACTGGGAGCCATTCAACATTGTGTTGAGAATCCATGTGGTAGGGTGGCCTTTTAAGTAAATGCCATTATGATAACCTCCTTTTAGTCTTTATAGCTAAGTATCTCAGTTGAGTTTGTTACAATAACAGCATTGCTCTGAGGCTGAACCATGCTGAGTTTTTTTGTGTGTGTTTTCGTTTTTTTTTTTTATTTTTATTTTTTTTTTTTAGCTGAGCCATCCTGCCACCTGTTGGGAGCTCAGCTCAGGCTGGGCATCGAACTGCTGTTGCTCAGAGCTCACACACTTGAGCGAGCTCTTAACCAACTGAGCCACTGGGCCAGCCCTTTTTTTTTTTTTAAAGATTTTTATTTAGGAATTGGGGGAGAGGAACAGCATTGGGGACTCAGGGAAGGGAACAGACAAGTTGCTGTCCTTTTGTTTTTCAGTCTAGTTGTGGAGGACGTTGTTTCACTGGTCCATGTTGGTATTATCATTGCACTTTTCCTGGGTAAGGCAGTCGCTTGCTGGCCATTGGATGGCTGCTTATGGCAGCTATTGGCAGCTCACGAAAGCTCACACCTGCTGCCTGCCAGCCACTCACGACAGCCCAGCTCCAGATCCAGCCGCTGCTCACCATATCAACTGTAGAGAGCGCAGTGTCACTGGCCCTAATGTGGGATCCGAACTGAGGCCCTGCTGCTCAGAGCTGGCGTCCCAAGCCAACTCTTAACCAACGCGCCATTCGGCAGGCCCTGAACCATGCTGAGTTTTATGTTGGAGAAGATCCTTGCCCCAGTTTCCTCCCAGAGTGTACCCCATAAATCAACTTGATTTTGGCTGAATTGTTTATACCTGCCATCTCATCTTTTCTTTCTTCATTGTTGAATTGCTGTTTAGTTTCTTTACAGTATTATGTGTTTAAAATAGACACTAATAACTCAAATTCAAATTTTTCTTGTGGTTGTTAAGGTTGAAATTAGTAAGTGGGATTGTGTTTTATCACTTAAATCCCCATTTGCACAAATCTAAAGAGACACTATGTTAAGTTAGCTAATTGCCTCTAGTTCTATTTGACTTCTGAATTGTAGGGAAAAAGAATTCCCTTTTTTGGGAGGGTGGTGTGGGGAGTCCCATACCCATATTCGTCATGTAGATGTAAAGACTTTAAGTGTGAGTATAGGTCTACATTCTTTCAGGCTTTCAGAGATCCCATGTACATTTAAACTGGCTAAAGTGATTCCTTTAGAAATGTTTCCATGATTTGGTCTCTGAGCAAAGTGCTATGAAAGTTATGGATAAGGACATATTTGCGGTCATGGGGACTATTTTATTTTAGTCTTTAGGTATTCTGGAGAGGGCTGAAAACAGGGTTAGGGTAGTGATTTTACTTCCGTGTTAAAGGGAAACTTGGGCAAAAGTTTATTCAGGTCCCCCCCCCCCTGCTTATTTTAATTTGGGTGCCATTCCAGATTCAGGTTTCTTAATAATTTTAATTTCTTTAGGTTAAAGACTGTGAGTGTGAGTGTGTGTAGAATAAATATAATAGTCTTAATGTTTTAGCTTAAATGGGTGAAGTGATGGTAAAATATTGTTTTGATGCCTTTGTGTTATTGAAACCTTATATCACTGTGTAAGTTTATGTGATTGCAAAATGCGTTTTTGAATTTAGATCAGATCAACCATTGGCTTGCCTTCTACCATACTCAGCTGAACGTGACATCTCCAGTTTATTCAGGATGCCTGCAGCACTTGTGGAGAACAGCCAGGTTATCTGTGAAGTCTGGGCCAGCAACCTAGAGGAAGAGATGAGAAAGATCCGAGAAATTGTGCTCAGTTACAGTTACATTGCCATGGTAAGGAGCTCTACTCTGTTTCACCCACCTTCCAGTAGACTTAGGGGACTATTTAATGTGAGAGTTTGAAATAAATGATTATACTAAAGGGGTGGTAAATTAAACATGATGGAAAGTTATATTGCTCTTATGAAACATCAAGGTAGCCAGTGTGTCTGAGAAGGACGTAACCTCTAGTGTCTTAGATTTTTTGTAATGTTACTCTGTGTTCGAAAATCTTTAAGGCAGAAGTATGTCAACCCATAGAGCACATCTGTCCCAAAGAGACAGTGTATTTGTATAGTGTTTAAAACAATTTTTAAACATTTGTTGCCAGCATTTAAAAATCAAGAGCTCACTTAAATTCCAGATTTTTGCCATCTCTGGAAAAACTGGGGAGACCTGGCCATAGAGGGTCCACATTCCTGCCTGCCTGAGTGGCCAAAGAGGGAGTTGTGCATCATGGCGCTATCAGGGGCTTCTTGTAGCTCGCACTCTAGTTTGCTGCAGTCCCCATTACTCGTGATCATTGTCATACCCGTCTGCTTTACTCCTTTCCATGGCTGCCTGGAGTTTGTGACTCCTGCTGTAGAGATGATAGAATTTTGTCTTTAGCCTGGCATTGAACACTCTCTATTATCTTGTTCTTCACTCAAGTTAAACATGGCTTTTATTGTTTTTTCTGAATGGCTGTTTCACTTCCCTATTTTTGTATTTTTATTCATATGTTGTTCTCAACCTAGAACGTTCTTCATTGACTGTATATCTACTTATAGTTACCCACCTCTATTCACATCCTATTCATGTAGAATCTCCCAGTGTTGGGCAGAGCTTCATGATTTTAGTGCTTCTGTAGATGTCAACAAGATCAGTATTTTAAGATAGATTTTTGTGCCCAAGCTTGGGGCTTGTCCCATAACTTATAAATTGAGGTAAAAATTTTGTTTCATGGATGATCAATTCCGCATCCAATGTTTTGTGAAACCTTATGATGAGAGACTTTTTCCTTTTCCAGGACACAGAATTTCCAGGTGTTGTGGTACGACCAATTGGTGAATTTCGTAGTTCCATAGATTACCAGTATCAGCTTTTACGGTGCAATGTCGACCTTTTAAAAATTATCCAGCTGGGCCTTACATTCACGAACGAGAAGGGAGAATATCCTTCTGGAATCAACACGTGGCAGTTCAACTTCAAGTTCAACCTTACGTAAGTGTCCAGACCCTCCTCAGTGTCATTCTTAGATCTGCTGCATTTGTGCAGACTGAGATTTCTAACTGGTTTTATTCATTTTAAGTTTGGTTTCCACCGAACCCAGGTAAGGGTTGGAAGGAGCCGTCAAGCAGAGGATGGAATACAGAATCTCAGAAAGTAAAGTTACTCATAAAGAACTCCTATAAGTCAACAGTGAAAAGACAAATAATCCTATTAAAAATGGGCAAAATATCTGAATAGACATTTCTCCAAAGGAGATACACAAATGGCTAATAAGCCCATGAAAAGATGCTCACATCATGTCCATAGGGAAATGCAAATCAAACACACAGTGTGATACCACTTCACACCCACTAGGTGGCTATAATAAAAAAGACAAGTAACATAATAACAAATGTCTGTGAGGATGTGGAGAAATTAGAACACTCATACATTGCTACTGGAAATGTAAAATGGGCCAGCCTGTTTGGGAAGACAGTTTGGCTGCTCCTCAACAGGTTAAATGTAGAGTTACCATATGACCCAGAGCAGTTCCTAGACATATATGCAAGAGAAATGAAAACATACATCCATGAAAAAACTTGTAGATGAATGTGCACAGCAGCTTTATTTGTAAAAGCCCAAAGGTGGAAGCAATCCAGATATCTGTGAGCTGATAAATGGATAAATTAAATGTGGTGTATCCATGGAATAGAATGTTACTGGGCAGTAAAAAGGAATGAAGTACTGATACATGCTATACATGGATGAACCTTGGAAACAAGCTAAGGGAAAGAAGCCAGACACAAAAGGCCACATATATGATTCCATTTACTTGAAATGTCCAAAATAAGCCCGTCTATAGAGCCAGAAAATAGATCAGTGATTTCTAGAGTAGGGGTGGAGGGGTGGGGGGGGAATTGGGAGGTTATCAGATAATGGGGAGTGACTGCTTAATGGGTACAGGGTTTCTTTTTGAGGTGATGAAATAGTTTATAGTTGATTGTGGTGGTAGTTGCAATTCTGTGATATACTAAATCTACCAAATTGTATACTTTGAGTGAATTGTTTAGTATGTGGATTATATCTCAATAAGGCTATTTAAAATGAAAAAAGTAAAGTCAGTTTCCCAGTTAAGAGCTCAGTGTTTGAATTGCAGCTCTGCCGTTTCTTAGCTGGGTGACTGGGTTAGTTACCCTGCTGGAATTCAGTCTCCTTATCTGTAAAAGAGGGTATTAGCATCTTTCATAGTAGAAATCAGGTGTAGAGTGGGTGCTAGTCAAAGGTAGTTGCCACTGAAGCCTATCCATCTGGTAGAGGGCAGATTTTGACATAATTTAAAAAATTCTGTGGTAAACAAAATTTACTTTGTTGTGAAACAGACCTCCAGAACTTTTTCATCTTGCACATCTGAAACTGTATACCCATTAAATAACAGTTTCCTTTTTCCTCTCCCCCAGCCCCTGGTAACCACCATTCCACTTTGTGTTTTCTAGAGTTTGACTACTTTAGATACCTCATATAAGTGGAATTGTACAGTATCTGTTGTTTTGTGACTGCTTTATTTCACTTAGCATAATGTCCTCAAGGTTCATCCATGTTGTAGCAGGTGGCAGGATTTCCTTCCTAAAACTGAATAATAATATGTCGTATGTGCACACCACATTCTTTTTTTTTTTTTTAGCTGAGCCATCCTGCCACCTGTTGGCAGCTCAGCGGCTGCTCAGCTCGGGCTGGGACTCGAACCGCTGTTGCTCAGAGCTCAAACTCTTGAGCGAGCTCTTAACCAACTGAGTCACTTGGCCGGCCCTCACATTCTTTTTATCCATCATCTGTTGATGGACATTTGGGTTGTTTCCACCTTTTGGCTATTGTGAATAATGCTGCTGTGAACATGGGTGTGCAAATATCTGTTTGAGATCCTGTTTTCAATTCTTTTGGATATATACCTAGAAATGGGGTTGCTCAATCGTGACAATTCTATTTTTAAGGATGATGTAATTTTTAAGGGGAAAGTTGGGGGGAGACTGTGGTTTTGCTGATTGTCAGAGGTGGTGTTAGTATGTTTATTGGGCCCCAGCTCTTTAATGCTGCTTTCTTTATCTGGGCACCAGGAGTGTTTGAGAGCACAGGAATAATTTTTTGATTGTTGTTGATGTGTTTTGGAGGTATCTTAGAGTTTCAAAGAACATTTTTGGGAGATTATCTGGATTTTTCCTTTAACTTCATTTTTTTAAGTCCATTGCAAAAGGCTGTTATTTGTACCATGATGATAGTATAATACATAGATGATTTAATGATGATAATATAATATATAGATGTAGGGATGGAGGTGTGTATATGTGTAGGCAGAGAAAATAGTCTGCAAGCATGTATAAACCAAGTGTTAATAGTTATTTCTGTGGGGCAGCATTACAATAAGAACATTAATTGTTTTTCATTTTCTGCTACCTGAAATATTTTTGTATTGGCTGATTCTGTTGTTCTTTAAACAATGAAAATGTGGATCTTTCATAATTAGGATATTTATTTTATGGGGGGAAATCCCATTTTTCTATCTATTATAGAGATCATCTTTTTTGCATGCTTGCCGGAATACTGGAAAGAATGAATTGGTCTATTCTTAAATTGTGAAAGCGTTTCAAGAAAGGGTCTGTAATGATAAGGTGATGGTAATATATTCATGCCTACTACTTCTGTGCAGTATCCACCAGTTAAGAAGTGAGCACCTTCTTTTTTAGGGAGGACATGTACTCCCAGGATTCCATAGATCTCCTTGCTAACTCAGGACTGCAGTTTCAGAAGCATGAAGAGGAAGGGATTGACACATTGCACTTTGCGGAGCTGCTTATGACATCAGGGGTGGTTCTCTGTGACAATGTCAAATGGCTTTCATTTCACAGGTCAGTTCTAGAGATTGTGTATCTCTCGATTTGGGAGCGGGGAATTGACTTCTTATGTTATCTTGGCAGTCCTGTTGTCTCTTCTGTTGCTCACTAGCAATTGTGGAGTTGAAACTGTTACTGATGTTTTAGTTTAAAAAACCAAACAAACCACTATGGAGTCCATACTAGTTTGTTTCACATAGTATTGGGCTTTACCATGTGGCTGTCAGGAGGTATATTCCAGGTAGAAAGATGGAGGGTGGGGAAGGTTGATGCACTTGTCTTTTAAGTGGCTGGCCTGGAGTTTCCTATGTACGTGAAAGCCAGATTCCCCTTAGGAGATGTTATTCCATCTTTTCAGTACCTTTTAATCTGTTTTTTTTATGCTGTACCTTATGCTGTTTTCTAATGGAAAGTTTAAATTATAGTAGGATAAACTACTTTGGAAGACTGAAAATTCCCAACATGATGTAGAAACATAAGATGTTGAGAAATAAAACGTTGAATGCTGGGGCCTGATAACTGCTGCGTTTTCACCCAAGTGCCTCCTCTCCTTACAGTGGCTATGATTTTGGCTACATGGTAAAGTTACTTACGGATTCTCGTTTGCCAGAAGAGGAACATGAATTCTTTCATATTCTGAACCTTTTCTTCCCATCCATTTATGATGTGAAATACCTGATGAAGAGTTGCAAAAATCTTAAGGTACACAATGTTTTTCTAGTACTATTAACAACAAAAAAAGCCAAACAAGCCGACTTGTCATTTTGCTTTATTGTTATTTGTTCTTGAGTGCCTGCTAAGGACCAGCATTGTGCTTGACAGGTTGTGTATAGAAGTGATTGACACAGGGACTCGTGTGGTAACTGTCTTTAACCTGGGCATGAAGGGAGCCCTCTGCTTCTCTCATCCAAAGGCAGGTGTTCTTCACTTAAGACCCATGAACTTAGTGGAACAGGTGGTAATGTGAGGTGTATGTGCAGTTTGTTAGGAGTGGGGCCTGTAGGGTACCAGATTCTCAAAGGGGTTCTTAACTCGAGACAGTATAAGAACTCACTGCCCTAATAAAGTGATGACATAAGAGGCTTGCTGTCTTGAATTGGATTGGCATTTATTTACTATTTCCTCAGCCTTGTTTTACAGCAATTAGGACTTTAAGAGGCAGGGATCTGACAAAATTAATATAGAAAAGAAAGGAGTAAAAAGTGGAATAAAACACAGTGTATCACTTGTGAGGGCTGGGGTAAGGCTTGTTAAGTAAATGACCTGTTCCCACTTCTCTTCACCAAATGAAGTAAACTCAAGAATGGATTTAGTTGACTCTAGTAGAAAAGTGTTGGGTCTGTAATATTAATCTTGACTTCCCTTACATTTCCAGGGAGGTCTTCAGGAAGTTGCTGATCAGTTGGATTTGCAGAGAATTGGAAGGCAGCACCAAGCAGGCTCAGACTCACTGCTGACGGGAATGGCATTCTTCAGGATGAAAGAGGTATGTCTGAGGAGATGGCTGAGGTTTGTTGAAAATTTATAGTTTCTGTTGGAAGTTGACGACCGCTTTGAAAGCAGTTGTGTGTGTGGTTTTTTTTGTTTTGTTTTTTATGATGTTCGATATATTAAACATAGTTTGGGAAGCAAAGCAGCATTCTGAAATGAAGGCCACTCAGCATGCCTGTCTAGCAGTGTATTTGGTTCCTAACAACTCTAATCCTTGTAATTATTTGCTTTTCTTCTGATTTCTATGATGTGAACACATTTGTTAGACCACCACTTAATTTATGCTAAGTTCTTTTAATTATCACATATCTCACAGCTAATATACGCAATGGTGAAAAGCTGAAAGCTTTTCCTCTGAGATCAGGAACAAGACAAGGATGCCCACTCTTGCTATTTTTATTCAACATGGTATTGGAAATCCTAGCCAGAGCAATTAGGCGAGAAAAAGAAATAAAAGGCATTCAAATGGAAAAGGAAGACGTCAAACTGTCACTATTTGCAGATGACATGATATGTATGCAAAACCCTAAAGACTCCGCCAAAAACCTGTTAGAACTAATAAGCAAATTCAGTAAAGTTGCAGGATACAAAGAAGTGAAAGACCTGAACATGGAAAATTGTAAGACATTGATGAAAGAAATTGAAGATGACACAAATAAATGGAAAGATATTCTGTGCTCATGGGTTGGAAGAAGTAATATTGTTGAAATGTCCATACTATCCAAAGAAATCTACAGATTCAGTGCGATCCCTATAAAATTTCAATGGCATTTTTTACAGAAATAGAACAATCCTAAAATTTGTATGGAACCACAAAAGACTCCAAGTAGCCAAAGCAGTCTTGAGAAAGAAGAACAAAGCTGGCGGCATCATGCTCTCTGGTTTTGCCCTCTGCGATGCCTTTGGCATGTCTGGAGATACTTTTGGTTGTCAAAAACCAGGGGAATTGCTGCTGGCCAGGGATGCTGCCAAACATCCTACCTACTACAGTGCACCGGTTGAGGAGATAACACCCTGCTATAAGTACTTCATGTCCATTATCTCACTCTTGACAACCTATTATTACATCACTCCATTTTATAGATAGGGAACAGTGACTTAAGGAGAGTTGAAGTGACTTTCCTAAGGTCACACAATTAGGCTGAGTGTGGAGCCCAAGCTCCAATCATTGCATTGCCTATGAAAGAGAAGGGAGGACATGGGCGTTCTTGCTAAACAGCAGCAGCAGCAGCACAGGGATCCTGGCAGTAAAAGAACCAATGGAAAGTAGACGTCTGTTGAGAAAGGAGCACGAAAAGGTTTGGAGCCTGTCTTTGTGGAATTAGTTTCTGGTTGGCTAGATTTTCAGGGCTCTAAGAGAGCTGGGAGGTGCTGATGTGGTAGTGTGGAGACGTGGCATGATTCTTGGCATGACTCTTGGCATCCTTCTCACCACCGGTTCTCTGTCCTATTCTGCAGTTGTTTTTTGAGGACAGTATTGATGATGCCAAGTACTGTGGGCGGCTCTATGGCCTGGGCACTGGAGTGGCCCAGAAGCAGAATGAGGATGTGGACTCTGCCCAGGAGAAGATGAGCATCCTGGCGATCATCAACAACATGCAGCAGTGACGGTGGGGCTGCCGTGTGGCCCGACCAGGGCGGTGCCGACTGCCGACTGTGTGTACCTACCTTCCTCTCCGAGAGAAAATGCTTCTTTTGAGCAGACTGTACCCACCATCTGCCTTGAGCAGAAAGACTTTTGTTTTACTGAAGACAAAAGATGTTTTTATTTTAGATCCAGAAGAGGGGAGTTTGCTCTGAATTTGTAAACAAGTCTACCCTGTTCCTCATCCCCAGGCCTCTCCTCCCCAGTTGCCTCCTGCCACCAGCATCCATGGCTCATTTGACACCTTTTTAAAGATCGAGGACAAGTGAGAAACAAACTAGTAAAATGTATATAGCTCTTAACCTGTTGTCATTCTTTTTCTTTTAAATTTGTTGCTTATCTCTGAGGATGAAGACTTGCTGTGATTCTCAGCTAAGCTGAGGGCTTCCAGGGAAAGTGGAACAAAATGGCGTTCTTGTTAAGTGTGGGTTATAGGTGTTGAGTCTTTTCCTTTCTGTTTTTTTGGATTTTTTTTTTTTTGGTTTTTTTGAGGGGACCCTTCTCAAGGAAATTTGCTTTCCTCACACTATGCTAGTCTTTTTTTATGTACTATTATATATAAAAATGAATTATGTACTCAGTACTGACATTTGAAGGCCAGATAATGAAAACTTTTCTTAAAAACAAAATTGTACAGAATCTGTCTACCCTTTATTCATGAGGAACCTCCACAGTGGGTATTAAGTTAACCACTTAAATGTCTTTAAGTCAGTGTCCCATTGTGCCACTGTTTGCTGTCACATGTGCATCATTTGAAATTACTTTGTTTTCATATAATACCCTGGATTTGGTCCCGAAGGAAATTAGTAATATCAGATTTTTGGGTCCTAAGTCTGTAGTGATTTCAGATGGTCAACTGTATTCTCGCACCTCTTCTCTGTTTTTTCCTGCTTTTCCTCTCAGGAAATCTGAGGAGGAGCTTGGTAGATGGATAAATGTGAGTACCAGGAATGTGAGTCTTTAAAAAGTTTTAGTGGTTTATATAAATGGCAGTAAGAAATTTGGTTTATAGAATTCTCTTGGAGTAATATCCCACTACTGGGATAGGAAGCTCAGGACTGTGATCCCCCCCCCCCCCAAACTAGTCATTTAAAAAGTACACTGTTTTTTTTTTTTTTCCTTTAAATAACAGTATGGATAATTTTGAAAAACCAAAAACTCCTTTGGAGTGGTGGAAATGAAAACTGGTAACTCACTGAAGTGGATGAAATAGCCTTGCATTTTAAAAGCTTATGGAAAAACTCAATTTGAAATGATTCAAAAATGTCAAGTATTATAAGCTGGTATTTAAGATGCTTGTAAATATATTTATGTTTTTAATTTTGTATAATAAAGATTTCTTTTTAACCACTGGCATGAAGATTTGGTCTTTCATAGCTGTGAATTTCTGGTTCTATAAATGGTCGTTTGCTGTTGGTACCAGACAATCTTGTCTTTCCCCAAATTCTCGCCTCCATTTTCCACATGTTGGCTTGCGTATAGAATGTCTGAATAAGCAGCTTCGTAAATGGAATCGTCTCTTCACGCCTGGCACTGATTGTTGGGCCTTACTAGGAAACCAGTTTTAATTGTATTTCCTGGGGCTACCCCCTTATACTGGGGGGTGCCAAAAAGATGTATACAAGTGGCCCCTTTGGTCAGTGTTGCTCAAGCAGTAGTTCGCCGTAATCAGAAGTGTCTGGATGTTGATGGTAACCACTTTGAGCACCTCTTGTAACTGCAGAAGTCAAATGTGACTTGTATTCATCTTTTGTTCTTGGTATATATTATTACGATTTTAATAGTTTCTTCCTTTCTTAAAATGTGCATACATTTTTTTGCTGAATTAGTGGAATTCTTTTAGACAAAATGAACTTCTGATATCCTGGACTTAGCCCAGAGCTTTGTTTCAAACCCTACTGGCACAAAAACGTGGCGTTACAAGGAGTTAGGTACAGTAGCAGATCGGGCTTGGATTTTGACAGAGGTGTTCACATACGGGAAGAGAGATATTTATCAATAAGGTTTGCAGTAAAAGCAACATAGGTCAGTGGTTCTTAACCAAGGGGCTTTGGTATGTCGGTGGCTATAAGCCCTGCTCAGATATCCTTCTAAATTTGGATTAAAATAGGAATTTGTCTTTGCTACAATTGAGGACAAACTTATTTGTAAGGAGAAATGTTGAGATGAAGGGTTGAGGAATTCAGTGTTGAATGGGGTCTGGTCATTGCATTGGAGAGAGAAAGAGCTTGTAAAAGTGCTGCTAAAGAAAGGGCACAAGTCAAGAACTTTACCTTGTGTAAATAAGAGTGTGTAGGACAGTGGGAGTGGTTATACTCAGTGATGCTGAACCAGGACAATGCTAAGGAGGGGTGACTACCTCTCCACACATACTACCAGATGTTCCTGAATTCCAGTGTTCTGCTAACCCACTCAGGTGGACTGCCAAGCACAGGCTGGTTGTCAGCTAGTGCTGGTGTGATTGAGCTCAGTTTAGTCTCATTTAATTATTCTAGGCTACTAGTGAGTATTCTCAGTATCATACTTTTATTCAGTCAACTCTCTAGGAAGGAGAGAGTTTAAGAGTTAGTTTTTGGGGTGACTGGTTAGCTCAGTTGGTTAGAGTGTTGTGCTGCTAACACCAAGGTTGCTGGTTCGATCCCCACATGGGCCATTGTGAGCTGCGCCCTCCTTAAAAGAGTCAACTATGCCATTGTAGCATGAAAGCAATGTGTAACCAATGACCATGGCTGTCCCCCCCCCAAAAAAAAAGTATTTTCAAAAATGTTACTTACTGGTTTTAGACCTAGCTTTATTACTACTATTTTATTATCTTTTTAGAGACCTAGCTATAGAATTTTAAAAATTCTAAACCCCAAAAAGGAAATATTGATATTCAGGTTTCAATTATGCACCTACTAGACACTGTAAGTAGATGCTAGGGATAAAACAGCACATGGAAGACAATCTACCTTCATTGGAGTTTATTATCTACTTGTGTTGTCGGACAGTCAATAATGAACAAGAATACAGTATGTGAACTGTAAAGTATAGGACACTGATGTCCTTGAGATTGAAGTTCAGGGACAGTGTTTTTGAAGCAAGGACATTGAAGCTCAGATCTAAGAGATGAGTAAGAGTGGGCCAGGCAGAGGAACGACATGGACAGAACCCGAGATGACAAGAGAACTTCCTTGGTGGGTTCCAGCAGCTAAGAGACCAGTGTGGCTGGAATCTAGAAGCAAGGATGATGGTGTCTTGACAGGAGACCAAAAGGTAAAGGCTGGGATCGAGTAGGGCCTTGTAAGCCACATTCAAGATTATCTTTTTTCCCATAACGATGGGGAACTACTGAAAGATTTTTTTTTAAAGGGTTTTGACAAGATTTAATATGCAATTTAGAATGGTCACTGGTATATGAAAAATGAAGACTGGAAAGAAAGCATAGGTTTAGAGATACGTATTGAGAGGTGAGCATAGTCATCTGGATAAGGAGATGGTGATTTGTATTAGAGATATAGTTACCTATTAGAGAGAAAGTTACTTTGGATGGGGTAAAGGACCAAAACTAATTCATTAGTTGATTAGTGATATATCTTATCCACTCAGAAAGCCTGAGTCAATTCCTCAGTGCTTTGGCTCTTTGTGGTTCTGATAATTAGGAAGATAGAAATGAAAACCATTTATTCCAATCAGAATAGGTTGAGTACATTACATAGTATTGGAAAGAGAGGAGTTTGAAAGTAAATGGAGCTGTGTCATTTCTGTTATCTTCTGCTATTTGGTAGTTATTGCTTAGTTGTCAAGAAATAATTCTTGGGGGCAGCCAGTTAGCTCAGGTGGTTAGAGCGCAGGCTCATAACACCAAGGTTGCCAGTTCAATTCCCACATGGGCCACAGAGCTGTGCCCTCCACAACTATTAGATTGAAGACATACTTGACTTGGAGCTGATGGGTCCTGGAAAGGCACACTGTTCCCAAATAAAACTAAAAGATTAAAAAAAAAAAATTCTTGTTCTTACAAAGCAGTAATGGAGGAATGTACAGGATTCCTCCGCCTACAGGTGATGGTTTTGGTAAATCACGAAGGAGCTTAGAATTTGTAATTTAATAATACATACTGCTCTTTACTCAAGTGGAAGAGAGTAAATATTGTTCCATCTCTGCAAGCAAAGCATTTGTTCATTTTAGCAAAGACTGTAGAATTGGTAGCTAGTTCTCCACTTAATCATGCCTATTTATATCTTTGCAACCAAGAAGATTCTCCAATCCCTAGTAACAATGCATCTTCCTAGAGTTCACTTAACTGTGCAGAGAACTATGAGGATCAATATTTCCATTTTTTGGGTTTAGCATTTTTAAATTCTAGCTAGGTCCAAAAAAAAACAACAACCAAAAACAGGGCCAGCCGAGCGGCTCAGTTGGTTAAGAGCTCGCTCAAGAGTGCGAGCTCTGAGCAACAGCGATTCGAGTTCCGGCCGGAGCTGAAACAACACAACACAAAACAAAAAACCCCGTTAAGTCATATCTTTGAAAACTGCTTCTTAAACTTTTTTCTTAGAGAGTTCCTGTTAATGAATTTCATTATTGCTGCCCACAGCAATCCCAGAAAAGAACCCAAAAACTGGAAAAAACACTGGACACTCAAGTAGAAAAGGCTTCACAATGAATCCCAAAAGAAAATTGTTCCATTATTGGGAAAGAGTGCTACCTCTCAAATCCATCCCAGTCTAATTTTTATGTCCTAGCAACTTGGATGTTATGGAAACATCTGTTCAACTATTTAAATAACCAAAGAGAATGACCTCAAGAGAATGCTCATTAGTCAAAAGAAGAAGAAGAAAAAAAGAACAAGGATTTATAGTTAAATAGTATGTAGGGTCCCATTATGCAATGACTCAAAAGGTGGAGGCCAATGATCCAAAAATTTATATCTGCAAAATTAGGAATATGCATTTTCCCTCAAAGACCATCTGTGACTTCAATCTAATTCTCAAAGGGTCCTGTGATCCAAAAAAGATTAAGAATCACCGAAACTGTAATTTTTTCCTGAGCTATTTTGATCACCACCAATCATTTCTTATAAAAGTGAAGGGATAAGACACATTTGAAATTGGTTATTTGTTCTTCCAAAGCTTTATAAGTGATTTGTCCAAATAAGCAATTAATACATGAAACAATAAAACCAAAATTTGACCTAAAGTAAAGTTCAGACAGAGGGTAAAGAGTCAACATGATGGGTAAGGCCTATTTCACAGTCAGTAGAAGTTGCAGTAACAGAGTATAAGGGGAGAGCCCAAGTTAACAAAAACAACTTAAAAACACTTACCAATAGTCATCAAATGCAACAATTCTACCTCGAACAAGAATGACATGTTTACCATCAGGTGAAGCATTTATAAAGGTAGCTTATGTTTAAGAACATAACACTTTGGGTGATGAAAAGAGTTTCTCCTTTTTGGATGAAACTCATAAGGCTTTAGAGATGACCAACAATCACGCTCGCAGTTGGTAGTTCTAATAACTACTGCTGTCTTTTGATGATCCTTCAATAGGAGACTACAATTGAGTCCAAAGTCAGATTCTAAGGGTAGTGTTCCTTCAAACTTGACCCTCATTTTATAGTATTTGGATCCCTGCAAAAACATCTAGGGACCAGAGCTAATGTCTGGCAAAGGCGAAAGGTTTCAAACGTTTTGAATTTGGCACAGTTTCTCGAAGGTCCTTGAAAGCTCACATGCAGGTCTGGCAGCATCTTCTGTAAACTTGAGTGTTGCCATATTTCTGAAGGAGTTCCTGGGCCTGTTGCTGCATTTCCTGGGTCACGCGACTAGGACACTGGGACCCGATGTGTAGCAGGACGAGGCAGCACTCCATCACATCTGGGAAGGGCCAGATCTGAAAGATGACATGAGAATGAACAAGGAAGCATTTGCAAAAGAGCCACAAGCATCTGCACAGAAGGCATCAGTAACTCAAAGTTTCGTCTATTGACACTTCTCGGGCAGTTGGGCCATTTCTCTCACAAGGCAGTGTCTTGCTCTTCACGTTACTCTAAGGAGAGAGTACTCAAAACTGGGATGGCTACTGGGATGTCCTTCTCAAACGAAATCAATGGTTTTCTAGAACTCCTCCAATTAAAATGTGCTGCTGTTACTACTAGGGCCACATCTAAATCCACCTATCCATCTGTAAGCTATCAAATACATGGCACCAACTTTAATTTTTACTTAACCTCCCAATTACAACATTTGTTAGATTTCTCTGAAGACTGAGGGAGAAAATTGCTTGTGTTGTCAATAATTATACTCTCACAAAACATTTTAGCGGGCTGGCCAAGTGGCGCGTTGGTTAAGAGCTGGCTTGGGATGTCAG